AATAGAAAGTGAAGGAATAATAAATTTCGAAATGAAAAAAAAAATTAATCGAAAGTAATTTATTATCATCATCATTATCATTATTATCAGCATCATTATTATTAACATTAATTTGCACAGATTTTTACTGTCGATTGATTTTTTTTTTGGCGCGCGAGAGAGAAAAAGGAAATGACGTCATATAACGGGGGAGATGATGATATGGAAAACGTGGCGCGAAAAAATGGGAAAAATCTTTTTTTTTTACTTTTTTATTCTTTTTTAAATAAATTTCATTCGTTTGTTCGTTTGTACGTTGGTTTGTTTGTTTGTTTGTTCGTTCGTTCGTTTGTTTCCCACGGTTCGATTGACTTCCGTTTGTTCGGAAAATTGCGAATGGATCGTTTGGGGATATTCTAATTAAAATAATTAATCCGTTATTAAAGGGAAATTTCATTGAATTTTCAATCATTTCGACACATTTCTTATACCTCCCCCTCGCCGCCAATGACGTGGTTAAAAGGGTAGGGAGGGGGAGAGAGAGAATAAAAGACTGCCATGTTTCTCTCTCTCACTCTCTCTCTCTCTCTCTTCATTTTCGCTTTTCGACCGGTTTTCCAATTTTTTTCCTTTTTTTTTTTTCTTTTTGTCGTCTATGAATTTTAATGTCGAATTTTCTCGTTCTTATCGAAAAATATTATTATTATTATTATTATTATTATTTTCTTCTTCTAATCTTTAATGCGAAGAAAATTTTTTTTTCCTTTTCCTTAATCGTTTTCCTTTTTCCCTCCCCTCTTCTTCCCCGATTTTCTTACTTACTTTTCCTACCGCCCGCGTTTCTCTCTCTCTCTCTCTCGCAAACCCTTTCGGTTTATTCTCGTTCGGTCTCTTTTTTTTTTTTTTTTGTTATTCCTTCCTACCATTTCCAAAAAAGAAAAAAATTATTTCGAAAACAAATTTGGGTTTCTCAAGCAGACGAAAATTTTATATATATATATATATATATATATATATATATATATATATATATATATATATATATATATATATATATATATATATATATTTATAAGATTTTAAATTTAATTTCCGCTATGCGTTACACAAGAAAATAAATTATATCTATTACAGTTACTGACTGCATAATAGCGATAATGATAATAATGATGATGACGATGACGACGACGGTGGTGGTGGTGGTGGTGATGATGATAATGATGATGATAATGTAATAAAAGCATTATTCAATTTTTTTTTTTTTTTTTTTTTTTTTGCGAACGATAAATAAAAATGAATAAAAAAAAAAAAATTTTTTTAATGCGAAAATTTATTATTATTAATATTATTATCATTATTAACATCATCTCCATTATTATTATTATTATTATTATTATTATTATTATTTGGTAATATTATTAATACGTAATGGTAATAATTGTGATGATGATGATAATAATAATAATTTTACGTAATGGAATCGATTTCGATTTTCGAGATTTTTTTTTTTTTTGCGAATCGATGGTGTTATGACGTCGACGACGACGGTGATGATAATGATAATAAGGGTACAGGTTCGAATCCAAAACTCGATTTGATGATGATGATGAAGATGATGATGATCGGAAATTTTTTTTTTTTTTTTGTTTTGACCGGAAGTGATTTGATTTCACTCGTGCCACGACGATTAATACTATTTACAATTTGTTTCTTCTCTGTCGTTTTCGAAAGTTTCGCGCCCACCTTGTCGGGTATTCGTTTTGTCGGTTTCCCGTGTAATATTTCAACCGGAAATCGAAATACGTCACTCGCGAAACGTTACGAAAAGAAAAGAAGAAAAGAAAAGTCGTTAATTCCGATTCGATCTCACGTGGTAATAAAATGGAATTTTCGATTTTATCGAAACGGAAAGGATTCTTACTAAGGATTCTCATACATATATATCAAAAATTATAATTTTAAATCGGGATGGAGAAAAGAAAAAAGGCGGGAAACGGAAAAGGATTTTAAAAACTTTTTTATTCCCGCGGAAATTTTTTTATGGTTTTCCCGAAACGGACGGATTCGAGCGTTTGCGAATTTCCTGTTTGATTTCTCTCTATCTCTCTCTTTGTGTTTGTTTCGTTGTTGTTTGTCGATCGAGGGAATGAACAATCGTTTTGATACGTCCGTTTGTTTCGAACAAACACATTTAACAACAAACGCGATAAATTTTATTTTATTATTTTATGATCGAGTGCGACAATAACAACGTTTATTGTTGTTCGAAGAAGACAATTCCGTGTGAGTGCTTCGACCTTGGTTATTGACAGGAAATCGATTCCTTCACACGCCTCTCTTTCGACAAACTTTTTTTTTTTTTTTTTTTTTGTACACCTCTTGCATATAATGATGGCGTCGTTTGTTTATTTTGTTCTCGTTTGTCGATGTGAGCGTGTGCTCGTGCTTGTGCTCGTTCGCGTTCCTATTTGCTACCGTTCATCGTCGCGAATCGACAACATACGAGAGATGGTGATGTTACCGGATATTCATTTTTTTCTCTCTTTTTCTTCAAAAAAAAAAATGTGTCGTCGCTCTCCAAGTCACATACTAATGGATTCCTTAAATTCTAAACGAGGAAACCGCAAATGAGAGAGAGAGAGAGAGAGAAAGAAAGAACCGTACCTGACAATACGGTTTGTTTTTGTGTGTGTAACGGTCGGGTTAGTCAGGAAGCTTGAAATTTTTTTTTAAAACGGCAATTGGAGTTTCCGGCATTTCGACTTTTTTTCGTTTGACCGATTCGATATTTTTTTTTTTTTTTTTTGTTTGTTGAATGTACTGTTAAATGACAAACAAACGTTTTGAAAACGGGAAAATCGCGGGTCGTGGAAAACAAACGACAAACGAACGTTTTCCTCACTCCCCCCAAAAGTTTGTACGAGTTTGAAAATGATCGATGGAAAATTGATTGATACGTGGCAGAAGACGATGATGATGTTTATTATTAAATTTTCCGATTTATTCGTTTTGGTTTTTTTTTTTTTCCAAAGTATTTCCGGTTCACGTCGAAGATGTTTCTAGAATATGGATTTGCAAAGCGAATACGGTTAAAAACGCGACAAGTTTTTACTTTTCTCTCTGTCTCTCTCTCTCTCTCTCTATTCGCGGTCGGTCGCGCGTTTTTACTTTTTCAAATTTTTTTTTTTTTTTAATGATAAAAAAGATATTCTTCGGGTATTCGATCGCAAATGAGTTTCGAATTGTCATAGAGTAAATAAATAAATAAAAACCGTTAGAATATCGGAAACGATTCGATTTGTTTTCACATTTTTATTATTATCATTATAATTTTTGTATTTGCATTTCCGCAAACAAGTGTTTGTTTGTTTGTTTGTTTGTTACGTAACCAAAACATTTTCGAATTAAATAATAATAATAATAATAATTTTTAAAGAAAGAATTTTGTGAAATCGAACTCGAAATCGAAAAAAAAAAAGTTATAATCCTTGAAAGCAAAAAAAAAAAAAAGTTTTAATTAATTTATTATTATTATTATTAATCTCAGGGCAATTTAATTAATCGAATTTTATTGATATAAAATTTCTCTCTCTCTCTCTCTCTCTCTTTATGGACCGGAGAAAAAAATTATCATTATTATTATTATATTTATTATTTTATATTTATTTATCGATTTTAAATTTATATATATAATAATTTTTAATTTACGGTGTCCGGATTGAAAAGATACAAGGATTTACATGGAAATAATAATATTAATAATGATAATGATAATAATGTTAATAATGATAATAATGATAATAATAATAATGATTTCATTAATAAATTTTTTTTTTTTTGATATTCAATGCCAGGAAAAAAAAAAAGAGAGAAAAAAAAAATGTCACACGTTGACCTTTTTCATTTTTTACGTTGTCCGTAATGGTTTGATTGTTTTATTCTATCTCTCTTTCTCTCTCTCTCTCTCTCTGTGATTCTTTGTCGTTTTTTTTTTTTTTTTTTTTCTATTGTAATCGAATTGAGATGCAATTCAGGAATCGTATACATACTAGTATTACCTTCGTACCTTGGTACGTATAAAAAAAAAAAATCTTGGGGGCAACGGCATCGTTACAACTACGACGACGACGACGAACGACGAACGACGTAACCATATTATTATTATTATTATTGTGAGATGCGTTTTTTTTTTTTTCGTACCGGCAAAACACGATTATTTTACCTGTTTGTTTGTTTGTTTGTTTTTATGTTTCTTCTTTTTCGATTCGGAGAAATCAATTAATTTTGTTGTTGTTGTTGTTGTTGTTGTTGTCGTACTGCGATAGAGATCGATGGACGACGAATAAACCGGAAAACATTTTAAAAAAATTTTTTTTTTTCCTCGTTTCCGTCATTTGTTTTTAGCTGAAGAAATATGTGTGTGCGTGTGCGTGCGTGTGTGCGTGTTGGATCTGGAGGAAAAAAGAAAAAAAAAAAAAATGAAAATTTTTTCCGATGAGTTTTTATTGTTTTTCTTGAGAAAGAAAACTTTTTTTAAAAGAGGATTAATTGAGATTATTAACGGAATAATAAAAAGAGAATCGAACGAGTGAATGATGGGGGGTAAGAGAAGGAAAAAAGTGTGCGAGGGTTAATGGGCAGGGGGAGGGGGAGAGAGAGGGATGAAAAAGGAAAAAAACCTGATTCGATGAAGAAAAAAAAAGTTTAATGAAATAATGAACAGGAAAAAAAAAAAAAAGGAATTTCCTTTAAAGTTTCATTTCTTTGTTTTTTTTTTTTTTTACACTTCCCCCCCCCTCTCTACCCCTCTACTCTTTTACTTTCGATTAAATGAAATTAAAAAAATTTTTTTTTTTTTTTTGTTGTACTTTTCATCAGTTTATTATTAAAATGAAGTCGGGAGAAAGCATTAAAAACATAAAAAATAAAAAAAACGAAACGTGATTATTGCATGATGATGATGATGATGATGACTACTACTATTGACACGTGTGATACGTAAAAAAAAAAAAAAAGTGAAAATGAAGCCTCTTTCGTTTGAAAATCTTCGAAGGTTCGTCACCGGAGGTAAGAAAAAAAAAGACAGGAACGAATCGTCGTTCAAGCGAAGCGATTCGTTCAAAAGAATATCGATAAAGAAAAATTATTTGGAACGTGGTAAAAAGCACAGGCAACAGGCGGTCGAAGCCGCCGTCGTCGCCGCCGCGGCTTGCGCAAACGTCGAAGCCACCACGGTTAAAGTTACCAAAGCGCCCATCAATGCGACGTCGTCGGTGACGAAAGCGACGAGCGGAAGTCACATAGCGAGAGCGCGAGGTGGCGGCGGTGGCGGCGGCGGTAATGGTGGAAACTGTAGGAGTTCGTCGCCGGGTAACGATAGAATAAGAACGTCACTCGTTAAGCCCGCGACATCGACGGAGGGACCCGATTCTCTGGTGATTGACTACAATCAATGGTTGAAAGGAATGAAGACTGATGATTGCACAAGCAAGAATTTTTCTTTCGGTAAATCCTCGCCGACGGAAGAGGAGAAACCGCCCACGCCGCCGCCTAGGAAAAAAACCGGTAGTCTGAGCGGTACGGTACATTCGACTTTGGAAATACTCAAACTCGAACAGTCACCGGTTCCCGTGGAAAAGAAATACCACAGCAAGAGTCGACAACCCTCGCCCACGGTGAACAAAAGCATCGACAGTTTAATTAGTTTAAGTCCTCAAGTGTCGAGGAGTAGTTTAAGTCCGGGACCGTCGAGGACAGACTCAGGTTTAAGTATAAATTTAGGAAGGGTTTGGATAGATGCGCCGCTCGCGATGGCTCCGAGAAGTTTAGAATTACCCAGACCGGCAGCACCGCCGTCCGGAATGAGCAAGGAACCCGCACGGATACATCATTCTTTGGATAGCGCGCTGAAAGAATCGGGAAAGACAAGCAGGAGGCATCATCATTATCAGTCTTCTCCGATGACGTCACCATCGTACTACATATCAAATTTATCTGCCGTGAGTCGGACATTATCGTCATCCACGACGCACACGAACAAATCGCGAGATTCATCGGGTAAAGATTCGGGTTTTTCGTTTTCCATATCAATTCCCAGGCTCACGGATTTCACCGGGATAAGTGCAAACACGAGCGGATTTTTTCGCAAGAAGAAAAAATTGACGAGACCGAAACCGAGCGTTTCGCGCGACGGGTATTTCAAAAGAACGAGCGGCGCAACGCGATTAGTCGAAAACAAATTGAATTCGGTCAAGAGGAGCAACAGCAAAAAGAAAAGAGCCAAACGGGATAAGGGCATGCTACGTGCGAACGCTATGATGTCAAAAAGTGACGAGTTCACGGTCACGGCGTACAAATCGTCGAAATCGTTGAAATCCCTTAAATTGGAACCCATGATATTCGTGACGCCGGAAAAAAGAAAACCGGGAGGATGTCAAAAAAAATGCGAATTCAAAGAAATTCGAGATTGTCGGGTATTCGACGATTTGGAAAATGACATGGCGGAACGTCGTTGTAAAAACGTTACGAAAAATGTTGAGGGGATGACGACAAACGAACGAGTCGCGGGAGAAAAAGCCGAGAAAAACGAAGGGAACGACGACGACGAGGAAGAACAACTTTACGAGTGCATAATCGAAAACGATTGTCGTCAACCCGTCAAGGAGGATGAAGTCATAGAGAATAAAGACACGGACGACAGTGATATAAATTACACGGATACGGATGAGGAAAGAGGAACCACGTTCATACCTTTGGGCGTGTCACCGGTTCCCCGTCGGAAACCGGTGAGGAAAAAAAAATCGACAAAGAGAAACGTTAAGTACGTGGCAAAACCCGGAATACACAGAGCACAGTCGACGCTGAGGAAAAGCAGACGATCTAAAAAAGGAGGTAATGTGATTTTTTTTTTTTTTTTTCATTTTTCTAAATATCCAATCTCGAGCAAAACAAACAAACAAACAAACATTTCATCAAAATGTCGTCTCTCTCCTCCCATCTCTTCCCCCGTCTGTTCCCTCCTCCTAATCTTCACCGCCTTCTACTATCGATATTTGTGTCGGGGGGTGGGAAAAAAAAAGAAAAAATGGCACATGTGCAGATAATAATAATAATAATTTTATACGATGAAACAAAAAGTATCTAATAAATTAAAGGCATCGACTTTTCCCTTGGAAATCCGTGGTGATAGACGAAATTTTTCCGGGAACGGGAGAAATGGAATTATGAAATAATAATAATAATAACGATGACGTCGGGTGCATGGAGGTGGGTGGGTATTCGTGCGTGCGCGTGCATATGCACACTCACGCAGATTTATTAACATATCTCAAAAGGTTTCTGTCGGAATGAATCCATTGTTAGAAATCATAGAGATATATATGTATATGGTTTGTTCGATGCGTTTATTTTATCTATGGAAAGGAAGGAAATCGGAAAAAAAGTTATTTCGATTCGTGATAAATTGTTTTTGATTTTGAAAAAAAAAAAACTTTCATCATTTCGTTATTTCTTCTTATTCTGCTTCTTCTTCTTCTTTTTTTTTATTATCATTATTCGCATGAAACTTTTTCCTTTTTTTCCTTTTTTCCTTTTTTTTCTCTTCTTTGTTTTCGTAGAGAGAGAGAGAGAGAGAGAGAGAGGGAAAAAGATTTATAGGGTTTTCATCGATCGTTATTATTATTATTATTATTATTGTTATTATTATCATTATTTTATAATCCATAAATTTTTTTTAATTTGTTCTTACATACGAGAAACGATTAATAATAATAATTATTATTATTATTATCGTCGTCGTCAAGAAGAAAAACGGTTATTTTTTTTTATTTCCGGTTGTCATGGGGACCCCCGAAAAATTCCCGCGTCTTACTTGCTGCCCCCCTTATTCTCCTCATCCTTCTTTTCCTTTTTAACCTTTTTATTTATTTTTGTTTATTTTATTTGTGTTTATTTACTCTATGAATTTGTCGCGCTAATCGGTTAATATTTTTTTTTTTTTTTTGTCTTCTGCTACGTGCATCATTTTTAGAAAAAATAGTGGAAATTTATGTTGGTTTAGTTTTGATTTTTGACACGCGAGCGCTGAGGGAGGGAAATTTTGTACTCGGAAAATTTTTTTTTTTTTTTTTTTTTTGTTTATTAAATCTAAAGACACGATATTTTGTTTTGAAACGGAAAAGTACGACAACGACAACAACAACAACAAAATGATATAATTAACGTTAATTAGTTGGAGCTCAAAATTTAAAAAAAAAAAATTTTCCTCTTCTCCCTTTTCCTTACCCTCCCCTCGTTTGACTACTTACTACTACGTACAGTAACGGTTTTTAATTTTTAATTTTTTTGTTTTTTTTTTTCTGTTTCTGATATTCTCGTGACACGTTTTAATGAGTTTGATAGACTTAACGACATTTCCTCATAATTTTTTTTTTTTTTTTTTGCGTTCTAGTTTGTTTTTTATTTTTTCCGTTAATAAAATTTTAATTGGTTAAGGGAAACGAAAAAAAAATTATCATTATCATTATTATTTTTATTTCAATTATTTTTGACCCGTTTTTGTAATTTGTTTTTGTCGTGGAAGGAGATTAGGTGAAAAAAATAAAAAATAAACAAAAGTAAGGGTAAGTGTAAATTTTGATTCACGCGTAAATTTTTGAATTTAAAAAAAAATTTTTTTTTTCCTCCCCGCTTTTCTCTTCGCTTATACGTCTATTTCCACGTTTAATTTTTTTTTTTTTTACTTTGTCGTTATTATCATTATCATTTTCTTTTCTTTTCAGGTATGTAAGCGTCTTTCTTTTCTATGGTATTTCGCAAAAAAAAGAAAAAGGAAAAAAATTCTTTCAGGTATATAAGGTAAAGTCGATATTTTTTTTTCGCATTTACAAAAGAAAGAGTTTTTATTATTATTATTATTATTATTATCATCATCATTTTTTCGGGTCGCGTTTTTACGGCGACATTCTGCCATTGCAGAGTAAAAAAAAAAAAAAATGTTTGATGTATTGGCGACAAAATTGATTTACGATATCGTTTAGAAAAGAAAAAAAAAAAAAATGTCGATGGTGAGACGTCGTGTCAATAATAAAATTTATAAACGTTTAAAAAAAATTTCGTTTGTTGTTGTCGTTGTCGTTTCTGCTGCCGCGTCGTTCGTTTGTCGTGTCTGTAGTCGTTTAAAAATTTTTTTTTTTTTTAAATTCGGCAATTAAAAATTTGCACAAAAAAAAAAAAAAAAAAAAAAAATTAACGGTCGTGGCAAAAATGAAAATGACGAAATTATTATATTAACTCGGTAGTCGTCATCATCATCATTATTATTATTTTTTTTTTTTCTTCTTCTTTCTACGGGAATTATTCAACAACATTCTTGTTTAATTAACCCGAGCGTCATAACTGTTTTTTTTTTTTTCAAAAAAAAAAAAAAAAAAAAAAACGTACGGGTACAAAAATAAAAAAAATTATGAAATGAAAATGTCTAAAAAAAAAAAAAAAAAAAAAATTAAGAAATTTTTTTATTTTGCAAATGTTATTATTATTATTATTATTATTATTATTATTATTATTATTATTATTATCGGTGGTAGTAGTAATAAGTATTGCCAACTTAAATTTTCGATCGATAAACGCGCGTTTTTTTCATTCTCACGCGAAAAAGCAAAAAAAAAAAATTTATTTTTCTTTTGTTTTTTTTTTTTTTTCTTATCGTTTCCGGTCGTTTCCGGGGGTAAAAATTTTTAAAGGTTGAAAGACGAAAACGAGAAAAGAAAAGAAAAGAAAAGAAGTAACAAAATACAACAAGAACAACAACAACAACAACCGCCACCGCCAACGGGCCGACGTAATTAACGAAAAAAAAAAAAAAAAAGTTGAAATTTACAGTTATGAATTTTATTATTATTATTATTATTATTATTATTATTATTATTAGTTTTTCTTTCTCGTATTTCATCCAGTTTTAGTTTTTCGTGGCATTTCCGATTTCCCCTCTCCCCGTACGTATCACTCGATGAAGGGGTCAAGATTTTTTATTTCTGCAGTCTTATCGGGGGAGTGAGGGAGGGAGGGAGAAAGAGAGGGGGGGGAAATAATCACATTAAGTACCTGACAATTTAACGACTCGATATTAATAGTAATAATAATAATAATAATAGTAATGATAATAATACAATGGTAACAATCGAAACGACTTTAAAACAACCAATCAAACAAATTGACTTTTTTTTTTTCTCTTTTCTTTTCTATCTCTTTCTTTCTTTTCCCTCCGTCATTTATTGCATTTATTGCCGATAAATTCATGGGGTATTGACCTTGAATGATATTTAAAAGAACGAAACAAACGAACAAACGGACGTACGTACCCGCTCGCACGCACGCATTCACGCACTCGTCGAAAGAAAGAAAAACGAAAATCGAATTCGCAATGTCTCTCGTGCCACGACACGTCTCTCTCTCTCTCTATTTGCGAATCATCATCGATCGATGGACGTCGTTTGAAAAACAAACAAACGGACGAACGGACATGTACGATTTTTGTTTGTTTTTAACATTTGAAAGCAGAAGAAATTTTTAAAAAAAGAAAGAAACGGAAGTCGATGGAATTTTTTTTTTTTATTTGTTTTTCGTCGTGTCTGCAAATGTGCGACGGCGACGACGACCGTCGTTTTTTTTTTTTTTTTACAGGAACGGGAAGTAAATTTAATAAATTTGTACTTTATTACGTTTAATCGGGTTTTAATACCACCAAAACGTGTAAAACTATTTAATAATAATAATAATAATAATAATAATAATAATAATGTCATTGGGGTCCTCCGAGTGTGCGAGTGCGCGTTCGACGAAATCAACTTTCACTACTGAATTTTTCTTACACACACATCCGGTTTTTATATCATTTTTTTTGTGTTTATTATTATTATTATTATTATTAATTTTAAATTCTGGCTCGTTTATTCGTCATAATCATCATCATTATCATCATCATTATTATTATTAATTACATTGACATGAATGTACGTAATAGTAAATTTGCGAAAAAAAAAAAAAAGAAAAAAAAAATTATTATGATTATTATTATTCATCATTCCGGCATTTTTATTGTTTGTAATAATAAAAAGAAATTGATTATCATCATCATTAATAATAATAAGATTATTATTATTATTATTATTATTATTATTATTAACATTACGTAAAATAAAAGTTAAATAACGTGGCAGGAGAATTAATTGTTTTTATTACGTATGTGTCTTTTTTTTTTTTTTATATATGTGAACGAAGAATTTTGAAAAAATTATTATTATTATTATTATTATTATTATTATTATTATTATTATTATTATTAAATGATCTGGAGAAGTGAAACTGGAGAATTAATGGCGGCGAGAGGGAAGGGATTTTATTTCGATGACGTCACGAAAAATAAATAAATAAAATTTGGCGGTTGTCGTTTGTCAGGGCGATCAGTGGCAGAAGTAAAAGTAGTGGCTATCATCATCATCATCATCATCATCGTCATCGTCATCACCGTGACGTAACGAGTGAGAGAGAGAGAGAGAGAGAGTGTGAATGTCAGATGGTGATTCGTTTGATTTCTCCGGGATGCTGGTTGAGTTTTCAATCTCGCACGCACGCACGGACGCACGCATGTACGCACGGACGGACGGACGCACACGAGGAGGAGGAGGAACCGAGTCGACCTTCGGAATAACCCTAAGAATTTTTTCAATTACGAAAAGGTGGACAACCTGTTAAGAACTTGACCTTAAACGCGTTCATTATAATGGCATTTATACGGGCTTTAATTTAAAGAAAAAAATTCGCCATCTTTGCCGCCGTCGTAGTCGTCGTCATAATCAAGAGAGTTCATCCCGTGGGATGATTAATAATAATAATAATAATAATGGCTTCCAAAAAAAAAAAAAATTTAAATTGTTTTTTCTTTATGTTTTTCGTTTGTTGTTCGTTTGCATTTTTCGTTTAATTTAAAAAGAGAGAGAGAGAAAATGTTTTATTATTCAAAAATTAAATAATTTTACCGTCACGACGACCCGAGTTCCTTGACACGTGATATGATGACCATCATGATACCTTTTTTTTTTTTTTTTCGAGATTGCCGATCTAGAAAAAACTGAAAATCCATCCGTCGACGACCGCGAAAAAGAAAGACATGACAAAGACAACAAC